AAAAAATTGGGTATCAACAGCTGCCCCTCTTTACTCGGGAAGGATGAAAGAGTTTTCGGGTAAAGAAATGATGGCCAATTTTGACCGAGCGAAACGGTTTGAGAGATCAGGCCGCACCCTGGCTTCTGAGCTGCCTACATGTCCTTGGTTTTATAGGAATCAGGCCGTATGTAGTTCAGGAGTCATCGGCGAAGTATATCGATGATGTTTTACAAGAACGGACACAACGTATAGGGTTGGACGAATAAGCGACTTACGGGAATGGTGAGGTTTGATATGGCTGGGAAAACTGGAGCGGGATCGCTCCTGTTGGGATAGCCGTTACTCGCCGGGTTACCTGTAAATAGAAGCAATACAAGCATATATTGTGCATAAATTTAAACATGGTGCAAGTTCCCGTTTGACTATGAATGTTGTCTTTGGACGGTTAGGAATGGCGTCCTCAGACCATGATGTCCTGGGCTATGGGTTGTTTGGTGCAGGATTCGCAGGCCATGAAATGAAGTTCTCGGGCTATGAGGATGGTGCCTCCAAACCATGACGCCTTTGAATAATGATATGCAAAAGATTGAAAGAGATCCTCAGGCCATGACATGGTGTTCTCGGGCCATGAAGATGGTGCCTCCGAACGATGACGCCTTTGGACGAGTTGGCAATATTTCAGCCCATGAAGGATGCAATAGTATGATGCGGACAAGACAAAGCTTAGTCTTGCGAATTGAAGGGCAGAGCTTGGCCCATAAGAAAAGCGAGATAAATAGTGCTTGAGATAGCGCTTAGTTTCGAAGAAAATTAGGGGCAGAGCTTAGCCTCGAAAGGCAGGAAAGTAGCCTTATGCAAAGATGCGAATGCAGATGGAGGTAGAGCTTAACCTTGGATGGCAGAATGGTAGCCTTATGCAAGAATGCAGATGGAGACAGTGCTTAGTCTCGGAAGGCAGAATGGTAGCCTTATGCAAGTTGGAAGGCAGAATAGTAGCCTTATGCAATGCAAATGTAGATGGAGATAGCGTTTAGTCTCGGAAGGCAGAATGGTAGCCTTATGCAATGCAGATGCAGATGGAGACAACGTTTAGTCTCGGAAGGCAGAATATTAGCCTTTATGCAAATTTGAAGGCAGAATGGTAGCCTTATGCAATGCAGATGCAGATGGAGACATCGTTTAGTCTCGGAAGGCAGAATGGTAGCCTTATGCAAAAAATAAAATAACAAATGACAGTAGAGTTTTCTTAGCTGATAGCAGATTGCAGCATTGTGATTATTGGGAGCATTGTGACTACGGAGCATTACTGGTGTGTGCTGATAGCAAATGTTGGCAAGTGCAACGGTTCTGAGAACAATGTTTGTCCCCTGGACGTACAGTATGTTTAAGGATTTCGCAATCCTAGTGCCTGCATCCAAAGAAAAATCGTGAGTTTTGTAAGGGGGAGGTTAGTTCGTATCCCCGCTGGCTTTGCTTGACTCGTTCGGCTTTGATCTGGTGATACCGTCAGTATCATTGGGGTAGCGTTGCTAAACAAAGCAGTTTCAATAATAAACATGCATGATTTTGTAAAAGTATGATATGAGTGTATAATTAGAAATAGCTTTTAGATGAACCGACGACTGTGACGTAGTTCAGGACATTGCAACCTCTCCTGCTACGGAATTTTGAGGGTCCTACTCAAAATTTTGCCCCAGTTTGATGGGTTGACGTTTCTGACTGTTGCTCGTGCGACGATTGCCTGAAATTACTTCGGAATTTTGAGGGTGCTCCTCAAAATTCTGCCCCAGTTTCCAGTTGCGGGGGGAAATGAAATATTTATTGAATTATGACCGAACCCATAGGGCTGCCTACGTATCCCATCTTAAACGGGAATCAGGTCAGGCGTAGTTCAATTTACATCATATAAGGAAAGCCTAAAGATTACACATAGTAACGCTTGACTGCATCTGAATTGATCAGCTTTGGCCAGACTTCTCCGTCCATTTCTGCAAGTATGAGGGCTCCTCTTGTCAAAACACGGTGGACCATGTATGGACCCTGCCAGTTGGGAGAGAAATTCCCTTTGGCTTCATCTTGATGCGGAAAAATTTTCTTCAACACTAGCTGCCCCGGTGTGAACTGTCTTGGCTTGACTCTTTTGTTGAAGGCTCTGGACATTCTGTTATTATAGAGTTGACCATGGCAGACTGCATTCATTCTCTTTCCGTCTATAAGGGATAGTTGTTGAAAACGACTTTTTACCCACTCTGCGTCGTCGAGCTCAGCTTCTTGTATGATCCTTAGGGAAGGAATTTCTACCTCAGCCGGAATGACAGCCTCTGTACCGTAAACCAACATATAGGGGGTTGCCCCGGTTGATGTGCAGACTGTGGTGTGATATCCCAGTAGAGCAAATGATAACTTCTCGTGCCACTATCTATGCTTCTGTATCATTTTCCTCAATATCTTCTTGATATTCTTGTTGGCGGCTTCTACAGTTCTATTCATCTGAGGTCTGTAGGCTGTGGAATTCTTGTGTTAGATCTTGAAAGTTTCGCACATAGCTTTCATCAAGTCGCTGTTGAGGTTGGAGCCATTATCAGTAATGATTGACTCTGGAATTCCGATCGACAAACAATGCAGTCGCGGACAAAGTCTGCCACGACTTTCTTGGTCACTGCTTTGTAAGATGCTGCTTCGACCCATTTGGTGAAATAGTCGATGGCTACTATGATGAACCTGTGTCAGTTGGAAGCGGCATGCTCGATTGGTCCAATAACTTCCATTCCCCAGGCAGCGAACGGCCACGGTGAGCTTGTTGCGTTAAGCTTATTTGGAGGTACCTATGTTATGTCTACATGTATCTGACAGCGGTGGCATTTTCGGACATACTGGATGCAGTCCATTTCCATTGTCATCCAAAAGTAACCAGCTCGGAGTATCTTCTTTGCTAGGACAAAACCGTTCATATGTGGACCGCAGGTCCCAGCATGAATTTCCTCTAGTAGCTTGGATGCTTCTTTTGCATCGACACATCTGAATACACTACAAGAAAAACAGCCTTTAAGGAATTACGAAGGGAAAAGGCTGGTCGTGACCCGTCGTAATAGCCTCCGTCGCTAAATGTCAATAACGACGGGTCTTAATACCCGGTCGCTAAATCACTTTAGAGACGGGCAAAAAACTGGTCGTGCAATACTTTTAGAGACCACATTTCTCGTCCCTAATAGGCGATGAAAAAATATTTATTCCCGTCGTGAAATCTTTTTAGCGACCAACTGTATCTGGTCCTAAATCGCCTTTTAGGGACGGACAGAAAACCTGGTCGTGAATAACATTTAGAGACTATATTTCTCGTCCCTAATAGGCGATGATAAATATACATATTCCCTTCGTTAAATCGTTTTAGCGACCAACGCCAACTGGTCATAAATTATCTATTAGAGACCGATGAAATATCTGGTCGTTAAACCATTTTCACGACCAACCTTTAACAGGTCCTAGATTATTTTTAGAGACGACGTCCCTATTTAAAATAATTTTATAATTTAGCAAAATATTCATGTCTATTAATAACCATGAGTAGTCCTAAAAGCTCAACGAAACAAAAAGTAATTTTTATCGATAAATATCAAATTGTTATCGAAAAATCTAGATATAAAAAGATAAGATATCAAGGTCTAATCCAATGATGATGTTACTTTCTATGTTTTCTCAACACCTCAACAAAAAAAAAAAAAAACTTAGCTATCATCCTGGGCTAGACTATGATATTAAGTTTTGCATAATATTTTTAGCAAAACAATAATGAGCTTGTGCATCTTCTAAGCTTGCATCTTGACTTGTAGTTTCAATCTTCAAAACGATAGAGTTTTTATGTATCGTTCCCGTTCCTTGACTAGCAGACATGGTAGAGCTTTTAAGCCCTTGTCCTCGTCCCTTCCCAATAGCACCTGGCGAAACGAAATCATATTACTAATATTTAAACATTAAAATTTAGTTGTACACATTAAAAATAGTAGATTTAAAATATCTTACTTTTCATTTGTTTGGACGTATTGCTTAACAAGATCACTAGATTGAGGAAATAAACTCTTAATTGGCATATTCTTTTTCTCAACCAAAGATCTAAGCCCTCGTCCTCATCCTTGTCCCTTTCTTATAGCACCTGGCGGGACGAACGCATATTTGGTTGTACTCTTCATAGTTGATTCCACCTCATTTTCAGTCTTTGATGGTTTCATATTGAAACTGCAAAGAGCCAAAAGTAAAAAAAAATAGTTAGACAACGTGTGATAATATAGTATTGAAAGAAATCATGCCATCAGTATATGTAACAATAAATATACTACTTCATAAATAGATACTTCACCTCATCGGTTCTTTTTCGTTTCTTTTGTGAAGGATTTCCTAAGTCTACAATATCATCATCCATTTGTTTTACAATCTCATAGGAATCACGAGGTTGAGTCTTCCTCACTACATGCCAACCTTTGTTGGAGTTATCAATAGCATAAAACACTTGAGATGCTTGCTCCGCTAAAATAAAAGGCTCATTTATTTTCAAAAATCTCCCTGGATTAACACTCACGAAGTCATACTCATCTTTTTTAACTCCCTTTATTTTATCATACACATCAAACCAATTACATCGAAATAAAATCACTCTTCTATCCATGAGAAATTGCAATTCAATCACATCTGTTAAAATTCCATACTAATCAATGTTCTCACTATCTTTATCATTCTCGCCAACTACAACAACACCACAATTTTGAGTCCTTAAATTTTTATCATAGTCTTCTACATGAAATCTATATCCATTAACAATGTAACCATTAAAATGTGTCGTATATTGGGTAGGACCACGTGAAAATGAGAGCAGATCTTCCATGATCCGACTATCATCTCCTTTATGCAATTGTGCAACCTATCAATAAGATTAAGTTGAATAATTTAGAATTAGTAATAGAACATTAAAAATTTAAATTTGATTTTTATGTATTACTCACCCTAACTTTAAACCATTCAATAAATTATCGGTTCCATTCTGCATCAGACAAGTGTTGCACAGTATCCACATGTGTTTGTGCAAACCCTCTACAAATTTGAAGTGAACCATAAATGTCATATAAAAAAAATTACCCTAAAGGAAATAAGAAAAATGAGACGATATGAAAGAACTCTCCATACTCGAGATATGGTATGACTTCATCGCAATTCTTCAGTATGTATATATGTGCTTGTTCCAATTCATTTTCTTCAAGATTGCATTGTTCTTTAGCTCCCATAGTACTTCCAGGTTGATAGAACATAGATAAACCTCCGTTAGATTTTTTCAAACCCCCTTCATAATTTCGTTCAGGTCGATTGAATTTTGTGTCAATCGTATGCAGATACCGTGAACATAAGGTCATACATTCATTTGCAATGTAGCCCTCTGCAATAGAGCCTTCTGGACTTGTCCTATTACCAATCAGAGATTTCAAAAAATATAACCACCGTTCCACAGGATACATGCACCGATAATGAATAGGTCCAGCAATCTTAGCTTCACTAGCTAAATGAATAGGCAAGTGCACCATGACATCGAAAAATGAAGGAGGGAAGACCTTTTCTAACTTGCAAAGCATTATGGGAATTTGCGCTTCAATTTGTTTCAAGTCATCAATCCTTAACTCATTTGATTCAAGCACATTAAAGAATAAAGATCACTCAATAAGCGGTTCACACACTTCTTTGGATAACATACCACAAAGTGAAAGGGGGAGTATATGTTGCAGAAGAACATGTCAATCATGACTTTTCAACCCAAATATCTTGTGATCTTTCAGGTTCACACATTGAGAAATATTAGATGAAAACCCATCAGGAACCTTTAAATTCTTTAGGAATTGGCATAATTTGTGCTTACTTTCAGGAGGCAATGTGTAGCATGCAGCTGGAACTTCAACTTTCTCCCCTCTTTGGATAGGGTGCTATTCCAGCCTAATATTCATGTCTTGCAAGTCTAATCTAGTTTTAATTGTATCCTTGGTCTTTCCTTTGACATTCATGATTGTTCCCATAATATTATCACATATATTTTTTTCAATATGCATAACATCCAAATTATGTCGCAACAAGAGAGACTTCCAATATGGAAGTTCAAAAAAAAATACTTTTCTTGTTCCAATTATCCTTTCGATTTTCATGTGATATCTTCTTCTTTTTCTTTGGATCATTTGTTAACTGTATCCCTTCAAGATCTTGCACTTGATTAAGTATCTCAATACCAGACTGCATTTTTGGTGGGAGCCTTTTCTCTTTTGTACCATCAAATGAATCCTTGTCATTCCTCCATTTGTGGCTAAGAGGAAGGTAGTGTCAATGACCCATAAAGCATTGCTTCTTACTATTAGCCAATCGAATTGAGGAGGTGTTTTTATTGCAACATGGGCATGCCAACTTTCCTTTTGTACTCCATCCAGATAAATTTTCATAGGCTGGAAAGTCATTGATGGTCCATAACAAAGAAGCATGCAACTTAAAATTCTGTTTAGATGATGCATCAAAGGTCTCAATGCCAACTTCCCACAACTCCTTCAATTCTTCTATTAAAGGTTGAAGATATATATCAATTGCATCTCCTGGACTATTTGGACCAGGAATAAGCATTGACAAAATAAAATTTTCTTGTTTCATACACAACCAAGGTGGTAAATTATAAGGAATAAGAACCACAGGCCAAATCCTATATGAGGTTTTTGAATTCCGAAATGGCTGAAATCCATCACTAGCAAGTCCAAGTCGGACATTACGAGGCTCTGACGCAAATGAAGGATGAAGTTCATCAAATGACTTCCACGCCATTGAATCAGCTGGGTGCCTCATTATTCCATCATCAACTCTTTTATCTTTATGCCATGTCATTAAAGTAGATGTCTTTGTAGACATAAACAACCTCTGAAGCCTAGGCTTTAATGGAAAATAGCGTAAAGTCTTTGATGCTATCTTCTTAACTTTTTTATTCCTTGTTTCCCCGCTATGTCTATCTATTTTCCATCTAGACGCCACAAACTTTGCAAGAATCAAGTAAAACATCCTCCTTCCAGTATAACATGCAATCATTAGTACAAGCATCAATCTTGTTGTAGGAAAGGCCAAGGTCTTGAATTATCTTCTTTGCCTCATAATACGATTTTGGCAAATCGGCACCATCAGGTAACAACTCCTCTTTTAACATTTTCAATAACATTGTAAATGACTCATTACTCCAACGATCCATACTTTTTATGTGAAGCAATTTAATCAAAGAGGAAAGCTTTAAAGCTTTTGAATTTTGGTACAGTGGCTGCTCGAAATCCTTCAATAGCCTGTAAAATCTTTTTGCTTCAACATTTGGTTCCTCTTCATTTAATTCATCACAATCAGTGTGCACAGTTCTTCCATCAATATTAGGATATAGATCTCTCAACAATTCTTGTACTTCATCTTCTTCTTCACTTTCACATTCTTCTAGTTCATCACCGTCTTCATCTTCTGATTCTGACAGTGGCTCACCTAACTTTTCCCCGTGATGATACCAAAAAGTATAATTTTGAATTATTCCATATACTTTCAAATGTGTCTCAATTGTCTTACGAATTCCTAAAGTTGTATTACAACATTTGACACACGGACATCATATTTCATATTCTTCTCCTGTTTTCTGAAAAGCATAATCCAAAAACTTTTGCACTCCGATTAAGTAGGCTTCATCGAGCCGATTATCAACAAGTTGCATCCATTGCTTACTAGGTGCCATAATCTTGGAGAAAGGTCATGAGTCAAAGATAAAGATCAAAGAAAATACAAATATTATTGAATTATCATAACTGAAACATAAATCTTAAATACAAATTGTAATTACTACGTCTTAATCTCAATCTAGTTTAATTAGCTTTACCAATCCAGAATATCAATTGCACTCCATTTGAACCCCTCCTATTCCAATATTCAACTAGTTTGGTCAACAATATAACATAATAGAACGAAATATGCAGACCCATTAAGGAACAATATAAACTATACACAAATTTAAAGAAGATCAGAAGTAAAACGAAACAAATAAAAACCCATAAAGCTCAAAGAATTTTTTATTTTGCTAGATGACAGAATAACAGACACCCATAATTATTTTTTTTAACATCTTACAAGCTTCAATTATGTAGCTGAAACCAACATATCAAGCCTTTGAGACCTAATTCCCAACAAATTAAATAGGGCAATTGAAAAACAATTTTAGAATATGAGTAATAGCAAAAAATCTTGAAAACTCAACATATAAAAGGCATGTAGCTCATGTACATAAGAGAAAATAAATCAGCATGCTCAACGAAACTAAGGAAAAGTACACTGCACAAAAATATTCACAATGTCAGTAGTATAAACCTTTAGAAATAATGAATCATGACAAAAAGATATAACTAAGTGCAGTAGGATCAAGATGTAGAGCACCGTGAAAGAATTATTCATTTTCTTTTCTGAAAAAGCAAATTTAAATGTTTTATATTACTAAACTGTAAGGGAAGCTAAGCACGAATTATTTACCATATTTCCTGCAATTGAAAACACAAAAAATGAAGATTCAAATGTTTAGGAGATACAAAGATGCATAGTCGAGAAGCAAAAACTGAAAACTAATGACAATACTTTTTTCCTCCTCAAGGTTTTTTCTTTTATCGCCAGCTCCACAAAAAGTATAAATTCAACAAAACTTTTAGAAAATCAACCCATATAACTCAAAACAAAAATAGTAATCGCAAACCCAACTTCCTAGGATTGCTTTCACTATAATTAAAAATAACTGAATCAGGGCATTTTATACTTTCACAAGTGTAACATTGAAAACTTAGGCGTAAGATAAATATACAAGATAAATGTCTTGAACCAAAATCGAAAGTACCATAAATGTCAATATAAAAGACAAATAAGATTTGACATTATACCAAAAGCTTAGAGTTCTCACACAACATATACACATTGGACCAGCAAAATAACTTCCACTGATAAAGCCACTAACTAACACACTCAAGTAGTATGGCAAGTCGAGCGAAAAATTTTTCTTGTGTGCTCATGAATCGGTAACTAATTATACATGAATTATTTTCACCGTTATTACCACTAAAGCTCATCCAAATTTTGGAGGAGAAGATAACATCAACTCTAGCTAAAAGTCTAGAAAAGAAATATTCAGTTGTTTTAGGCATATCTTCGAACACGTTGGCAGCATCAAAGTTCTTCCCTTTTCAATACAATTTCTTCCCTAGACGGCAAGTCAATATGATTACTGGTTAGTGTTGTTGCAGTTTGTGCATATAATATGAAAATTTCCATAGAAGCGTTTGAAAAAATTTTCACATGCATACACAGAGCTACCCCAGGAAAAAAAAGAGCATGAAGAAAATTCAAAAAGTAGATACATAATACTATAATCAAATATCCAAAATCTGTCATATTTAATTGAAACGAACAATACCCGGCAAGCGTGATTAGAAATATAGTCTAATTATGAAAGAAAGCTTGTAATAAACTCACAAAAGAAAAAAAGAAAACTCTACTGTTAACTGAAAAGGGAAAAGAAGTACCTCAGAGCAACCACTATGTATCGAGAAAGAATGTCTTCTGACAACAAACTTGAGCAAAACAGTAAAAATTATAGCAGCCCAACAATCAGTTTCGCAGACCAGACAAGTTGATCGATTTCGCAGACCAGACGAGCGAGACCGGCTCTAACGCTAGCGACGGAGATTAGGGCAGAGGATTTTATGCGGTACTATGTTTTGAGAATACAGAGGTTTAATTTTGTTTTTAGAACCTTCTATTTTTTTGTTTTGGCGCCTAATTTTTAGAAAATAATATTTTTTTTTAATATTTTCGTATTAGATTTGGCGGCACTCTCTCCCACTCAAGGCCTCTCAATTATAATTTGGGACCAGCTACTATTTTTTTAGGGACCAGATTTATTACCTTCGCAATAAAATAAAGCATTAAGGACCGCAATATAATCTCGTCCTAATACATATATTATATGCGACGGGATTATTAACTCGTCCCTAAAGGTTGGTCTTAATTAAGGCTTTTTCTTGTAGTGATAATCCTAAATCGGGAGTCCTCCTATACAGGATTCCTCTGCTGTGAAAGAAGTTGTTGGACAATCTCCGAAGTGTGCGTTTCTGAGTAGGATTTGCAAGCTCTGGGTACTCTCCTTTTGCCAAATATTCCTTGATATCATGAAACCAAGGCTTTCCATGTGCTTCTTCTTCAACATGGGCACAGTAAGCTGGCTGATTATGGATTTTCACCAGAAAGGGATCAATGAAATTCTTGTCTGGATGCTGTATCATAGATAATAGGGTAGCCAATGCATCGACGAACTCATTCTGGATTCTGGGAACATGTTGGAATTCTGTCTTCATGAACCTCTTTCTCAATTCCTGTACGTGGTGCAAATACGGGAGTATCTTGGAATTCTTGGTTGCCCATTCTCCTCGTACCTGATGTATAAGTAAGTATGAATCTCCAATCACTAGCAGCTCTTGAACGTTCATGTCAATGGCCATTTTGAGTCCTAAGATGCAGGCTTCATACTTCGCTATGTTGTTGGTGCAGGGAAATATGCGTTTAGCATACACCGGATAATGTTGACCTGTTTCTGATAGCAAAACCGCTCCAATGCCTACCCCATTGAAATTTGCTGCTCCATCAAAGAACATCTTCCAACCGTCGTATGCTTCAGTAATGTCTTCTCCTACGAATGACACCTCTTCATCAGGAAAATACGTTTTCAAGGGTTCGTATTCTCCTCCCACCGGATTCTCAGCAAGATGATCTGCCAATGATTGTCCTTTGACCGCCTTTTGAGTTACGTAGACGATATCGAACTCACTCAACAGTTATCATACCTCCTTTTTCTACACCCCCGTAAGGGGAGTATAAAGGAGTTTTTCCAACTTAAAGTGACAATCGAAACGGGATTATTTATTTATTAAATTCAGAGTCGCCACTTGGGATAATTTTATGGTGTCCCAAGTCACCGGTTCAAATCCCAAATCGAGGAAAAGATTGACTCTGTTTTACAGTCCGCGAACACAGAAATCCGGGTAAGGAATTCTGTTAACCCGGGAGAAGGTGTTAGGCATTCCCGGGTTCCGTGGTTCTAGCACAGTCGCTCAACTGTTATAATTGGCCTATTATCTGATTTTAGTACATGTTTTAGCCTATGGTGCAATTTTAAATTTTTGAGCCGCTTTTATTTAATTATTATTTTTTTAGGAAGATTTCAACGTTATTAAAACACGTCTTTAACCACGTCACATAAATGCACCCGCGGTCCTCGACATATTTTATCTAACATTGTTGAGATTTGGATTTGGGTCACATAAATGCACACCCGAGTTTAGGAAGGTAATTTTTAAAATAGTGCGCCTAAAGCAACTACGCACTTTCAAGTTTGCGAGGGCCATGGAAATTCAACTAAATGGCACGCCTCGATTTCTAAGGATTAAAATCAATAAAGCGAGGGCCATGCGTTTTATGATTTTATTTGGCACGGCGCACCTCAATTCCAATTTTAAAGAGAATTAACTAGATTTTGGAGGGCCATAAACTATGTCTTGCCTAATATAGCACACCTCAAATTTAAAGACCTAATCGATTAACGGCAAATGCAATTAAGGGTTTCACTCAAACTAACTAAAAGGCTTAGATAAAGAAAAGTTAAATCATTTAAACAAGGGGGTTTGAGCCAGCACCAACAACTAATGGTCCAATCAAGAACGAAGTGGTCCAAATCCCATTCGCAGGAGCTTTCAAATTTGGGCCCAAGAATAAGCCCAATTTTTGGCGACGAAAGGGGCGTCCAAGAGCGGATTGTATGCAAACCAGTTCTGATTTTGAATGCCATAACTGGGCCAACTTTATGCCCAATTTTCAGAACCAAAACTTATGCAAAGTCAATCAAATACCAATCAAACAAAAACCATATGAAATTACACAGGCATTTAACTCTGAGTTTTAATTATTAGCTAAGCTTTCAATTTATATGACATGCATTTTAAGAGCAATTGAAGGTCCGATTTTAATAACTATGCAGTAGGCAACTTTAGCTTTCACAGCCTCAAACTAACTTGAAATAAAGACATGAGAATTTAAACCTCAAATGAATGTCGTACTAATAGAGCCTATTCTATACAAGCAAACCAA